CCCGCAACATAAGGGCGCCCCATGGGTCGCTTCACACCGATTCCCCTTTCCGGACAGCGCCCCCGCCGAGGATCGCGTACACATACCTGGTTCTTCGGCTGCCGCGACCCACCCCATATCCGGCAAATGGTGCTGCTCACGGTGCGCCGCCACAAGACACCTCGAGCAACTCCATGGCCCATGGCAGCCATTCCCCAGGCGAGTGCTCAATCACCCACACACCCGTGGACCCAGTCCGAACAGACCCCCCACGCCCGGCCCTCGGGACTCGCCTCACACATTCCCACCCATCCACAGAGCCGGCTCCATGAATGACCACCGCTCGAGAATCCCCCACCGTGGCAAGCAGACGAGCCCGCCCCCCCACCCATCTCACCTCTCCGCAGGCCGATGGAGCCCGCTCGCCATGGCATGCACGTTCCACCCCTCGACCCATAGGCGCATGTCCAGTCACCCATCACAAGGCACAGAGCACCGGGCCGCCAAAGTGTCCACCTCAGCTGTCACCACTGCTCATGGGGCACCCCGCTGCGCAGGTGCCCGCCAGAGCACTCCCTTGTCCACGCCTCGCGCACATCGCCACCAGACCCTCTCCCGGCAGGCTATCCACTTGGCCCAGGGGGGCGGACGCTCTTTCCGGGCCAGGCGAGGCCTCGGTGCTGGCACGGCTTCTCGGGCCTGACTCCATCCGGCACTCAAGCCGCCGAGTGCTACCCAGGCGCGCCCGTGCCTTCTCCCGAGAGTCGTCTCGACCAAGTCAGTGCCCGGCACCCGACCCATCCCCACCACCAGGCCGAGGGCCCGAAAGCCTGCCACTCCATGGCAGCAAGCCGCCATGGCACAGGGGCAGCCGGAGACGACCCATGCACTCGCCGCCGCAGCAGCACATCCCCGACTTCAAGGCCCTGCCAACCGCAGGGGCCCGGTGCCTCCCTCGACTCACTGGCTGACGTTCCTCCTGCCATGCCTTGCCCCTGCCGGGACAGGCCGAGCCCCTCGCTACTGGCCGGCCAAATGCACCAGCACCCGCGAGCACCCCCACTGCCAGGGGGGCCAACCTTCACATGTGGTGTGCCTAATGCCCCGCTCCCCCGATCACCGGCCGGCCATGCCGTTTTCCCGATGGCCAGCCCCCCTCGATCCTGGGGCCTCTTCGGGAGCAATTAGTGTCGCTAGCACCAACACAAGAAGCCGAGCAGGCAGCCCCGGGGAGTGATGTAGGACACACGGGGATCTTGGCGCATTGCCTCTCCTCAAGCCCGGAGGCATTGCTTCCCAGGCCCAGCCGACACGGCGGCCGCATGCGCGCGTTAGATGTACGCCATCCGCCCCGGCGCGCGCCTCGAACCTCCCCCCCCCCCTCCCCCCCTAGAGGCCGCCTCTTACACGGCCACAGCTCCCAGCCAGAGCGGGATTCCCCTGAGACCAGGCAATGGCTGCTCAAGACCCCGGCAGGCCCCTCGTCGCACCTCAGAGAGAACAGACGAGCACCCCCCCCCCCCCCTCCCGTCCACAAGTCACACAGAAGTCTCACACATTCCCTGCCCAAGGACCCATCGCCCGTCCGCCGAGCGCATTCCTGCAAGCCCAAGGTCCCCCGAGGGCGCCTCCCGAGGCGCGCCGGTCGGTCATGCCCACAATGGACCACCACATCACACCCCCCTCCCCGCGGCATGGCCCGCCGTCTGTAAACCCATCCCCCTCTCCTTCAGACCAAGGGGAGCCCCGGGCCCAGGCAGGTCGGTGCGTGTGGAGTCAACACCGGACCCGAGACCGGACAGACACACACACATGCACACAGGCCCTTTGGTGGGGCTCCCCGCATTCTCTTAACATTTTCCAGGATGATGCATCACCCGCATCCCTGCTTGCCCGGTGACAAGCTGGGCACGCCCCGCCACGGCTGGGCCGGCCATCGGGCGCAGGGCTTGTTCCCCCGTGCCCCGCCCTCGCCCGACCGGACGAGGGAAATATCCGCCAGCTCGGCCGGCGAGAGGAGACCCTGGCACAGGCACGGGCAGACCGTGCGGCGGCGCAGCGGCGGCGAGCCCCCACAAAGGCAGCGCAACTTCCCGGCCCACACGTCACCATGAAAGGCTCCCCGCCACCCGCGGACACCGGCAGCGCCGGCCTCCTGGACGGGAGCCGCGGCCTTGACGCCTCCCCCGCCCCCGGCCGCTAGATGGCTGACATGGCGGCAGGAGGGGCAAGGCAGCCAACACCCCCAGATCGACATCGGCCCACCGCAGAAGGTGGTCCTGGAGTGGGGCCAAAAGTCAGTGCCACTGGCGAGCGGTTGCTGCACAGTAGGCCCGCGACCCAGCACCAAAAGCCACCGGGGAGCTCACCGCGAGAGGCAAGGAAGGAGGGATGGCGCGGTTCGCCCAGAGAATAGATCACAGCCCACCCCGCCCTCCCTGAGCGCAAACACACCGTGCCTGCCCCGAGGAGGGGATCGACGCGAGTCCCCCCCCACACACAGACCGGGCACCGGGCTGTGGTACCGGCAATCGCGGAGGGGGCTCGCGGGAAGGAGCATCCTCGCCCGCACGCAGGTGCATCATCCAACCAATACAAGCAGGGGAAAGCACCTCGCCAGGGAGGGCCCCACACGTAAGCTGCACCTAAGGGCCATACGAGAAACTTTGACCCCCAGGGACAACGCCTCGCCGGCAGGACAGGGGCCCGGTGGCCCTGGGAGGCATGGTGTGTGGGTGTGTGGACGCATACGGAGGGGCTGAGAGGAGGGGGGACGAGGAGGGCGAGGAAAAAAAAGGGCGGACAGGAGAAAGGGCGGGCGAGAAAAGCGCGCGCGACACCCAGTGGCCACGGCTGGGGCACGCGTGGGGCTTCGGAGGGAAAAAAAAAAGGAGAAACGGAATGAAGAGGGTCTGGATGATTCGGCCCCCCGGCCACCACATGGACTCGGGCGTCTCAAGAAGAAAGGGACCACACGGACACACCATATATGCTGGTCTTTTTTAATCTCTCTTTTATCAGTGGGCAGCCCCTCTCGGGGCTATACGTAAAATGCCCGAGGTCATCTCACAAAAAACTGCCCACGCATCGGCTGGCCACTCTGCACGCCCTGTTGCCGGGCCCGGAAGGAGGCCACACCTCCAGGCTGCCGACGGCAGGTCCATGCCTCCCCGTCTGTTCGCCTGTCCCCCGGACTGCCGATGGTGTCATCACCGCCCCCCCCCCGCACCGCCGGCCAAGCGGTTGCTCTAGTTCCCCCACACCCGCTCGAACCATAGCACTCCACCCACGTCGTGCCAGCCCCCGTATCCTATGCGCGACTTCCGCCTCCAGGCGACTCGACGGCCGCTGCGTCCAACCCATCCAGGCCGCCTATTCAGCTGAGCAACCACAGCGGAGCCAAAGGGGACCCAGCTCTATACGGACGTGGGGACTACCACAGGTATCGCCGGCCGGGGACCAGACACACATGCCTGGCTAGGTGACTCGGCCGCCCTCCATACGACAAACCATGCGGTCCACGCCAACCAAAAGCCGCACGGCCACATTGCCCTGCCACAGAAAGAGCAGCCCTTGCGCGAAATCGCCAGCCAGCAACCCAAAAAGCACTCGCGCGGCTCATCCCTCCCCAGAGATGTTCAACCCCCCCCCCCGGCCGGCGTTCATCCCTCGAGACAGGGATCGGTGACAGGCGCACTGGTCGCACCTTGTCCCCGTCCCACCTCCGCGAGTGGGTGACTCAGTTCCTTTTTAGATCCCATCTTCCCGGTGAACCACCATGTGGCGTAGAGCCGGCACACCCATCGTCGTGGGGATCGGCATCCACTCGTTCGGTGCTCGCTGCCTGCCTGCTGGCCTTCATGCCTCCAGGCCACCAGCCACCGCCATTCTCGCACAATCAACCCACAACAACATTAACTGAATACCGACACGAGTCACGAGCTCAGCCACGTCGAACATGTGGCCACATGGATCTGACTCCATCCATGCTACATTCCTACCGTCGGGAATGCCCAGCATTTTACCCGGCTCGAATTGCCAGGCCGACATGGCCAAGTCCGGAGAACACACTCCACCCAAGAGATCCCCTCCAAGGGGGCCCTTCCTGGGCTGTCTCCGCTTTTGTCTTTTTCGCGGACTTTCCTTTTGCCGGCTCCTCGGCATTTTGGACAATCGCACCCCCCCCCCCCCCCCCCCCCCCTCCCGAGCCCTCAAGCACGCAGACCGCAGGATGGCTTCCTCGCCCGGGCCACGCTCGCACACCCCCCTCCGGTCGCCCGAGGCCCGCAGCAGGGCCCGCGGTCTTCGCCCATCATACGGCGATCAAAGAAAAAAAAAAAAAAAGACCTCTTCAAGTGCGGCTGTCTGGTCAAACCCCCTCTCTGACAGCCGGCCGGATGAGAAATATCTCGCCGGCACCGCGCGGCGATCCTTCCCTCCGCGCCGGGCGCCACCAAAAAGTCTGGAGGCGGAGGGTATCGATCCCCCTGCCTGCCGCATGCTAAGCGGCCGCTCTACCATTTGAGCTACGCCCCCGGATCCTTGGACATCCGCAGGGCAGGCAGCCATTTATTCCAACGAAAGTCGCTTCGGTGCGAAACAAAAAGAGAGGCGAGGGCCCACCCGGGGTTGATCCGGGGACCTGTCGATCTGCAGTCGACCGCTCTACCACTGAGCTATAGACCCTTCAGTTGGGGGACACCCCGCGCATTGGGATTTTATACTTTCGGCTCGGGGCCCCGACGCGGCACCCGCACGACCGCGTCTATTCCGGAGACATGTCCGAGGAGGCGCCCTGGCCGGCCGCACTCTTGGCCGATGAAAGAGCCACATGTCGAAGGCTGGGGCCGCGCACGGGCACACACCCACACACCATGGCAGTCGAGGAGTCAGTCGAGCTGATGGCCGGATGGCCGGAGGCCAGCACCGAGAACAGGGTAGCGGGAAGGAACGAAAAAAAGGAAAGGAAAGAAGGAGCTGCGGCATCCCGCTCGACTCCCCTGGCCCCCACCCGACAGGTCCGACGCACTTGGACAGCAGATCCGTCGTCACGGCAATGAAGGCCTCGTATTCGGCCTGGCCAATTTCCCCGCCCAATGCCGGGCCGTGGCTGGCCGAATGGCCCGGGCGCCCTGGACCCGGCTCGGCGGCCGCCTGCGCCGCCAGCAGCGCCACGCGCGAGGGCACCAACCCGGCCGGCGGGTTGCCATAGCTGGCCCGTTCGTAGAGCTCCACAAAGCGCCGAGCCGCCGCCATGTCCATGCCGGACGCCGGGCTGTCCGGGGGCGCCATCGCCGCCGGCAGCAGTTCCAGCAAGTACCGGCGGACGGTGCAGTGCCCCGGCCGGCCGGGGAAGCCCAGCTCCATGGCGAATTGCTCTGTCACCCGGGCGCACGCGGCCAAGCGGCAGGCCACAGCATGGCCACAAGGGGACACAAAAGGGGAGGGGAGAGGGGCGCTTGGTGTCAGCCGCCGTCGCCAAAAAAAAAAAAAAAAAAAAAAAAGAACACCCCCGCTCGTGCCACGAGAGACGCACCAACCAGCTGGAAGGACATGGCCAGCGAGGTGGGGAAATGGATGGGATCCAAGTCCGCCGGATCTGTCGAGGTATGTCAGCGGTGGCGCGAGGTGACATGGGGGCTCATCTGCCGCGTGGGGCAGGCACCATCTCGCCCCGTGCCCCGCACTGCGGCCCGCCCCCCCCTCCCCCCCCCCCCCCTACCACCCCACCAGCACCGAAAAGGGCGAGGACAGCATGACACAAGCACATGGCGCACCCAGAAGACCCCACTGGCCCGGGAGCGAGCCATCCACCGGGCCAATCAGGGTTTGCACATTCCGATGGATGCTTTGGTGAATGTAGTCCAGCATCGGCTGCACCGGCAACAGGCGGGCAAAGCGAACGCGTCAGACAACAACCGGCAGAAGCCCCCCCCCACCCTCTCGGGCGGCAGGCCAAAAGACAATGCACACGCACCCGCGCAATGTGGTACTTCTGCAAGGGAAGGTAGTCGCGTGGGATATCCTTCTTGGTCAGGCGCGTCGTCCGAAGCCGGTCCGCGATGATGATCAGGGTGGCAATGACCTGCAGGCGAGCCGCGCCGCCCGACCCGGCAGCCACAAGGCCCCCCACCCCCCGGCGGCGGTGTCAGCGTCGATCAAGCGGGAGGGGCGAAAAGCAAAGCGACACATCTCCCGGCCCGGACGCACGAAAGTCCCATAGCCCACCAGCAGCAGCGGCACATTCGGCACATTGCCAAACAGATCGTATGCCGTGTAAAACAACGACCCAGCAAGCGTCAGCAGCACCACGGCCACCGTCAAAAAGAAGAGAGCCGACCGGAGGCGTGACCGCCGGCGGTAGGGCGGCCGGTGGGTCAGGCGCATGGCCGGGCTCGGAAAGGAGAAGGAATCGGCGCAGTAGGCCGGCCGGGAAGCGAGGCAGGAGGGCGGGGGGGGGGGAGGGCAAGGGCAGAGGAAAAGGCGAGGGGGGGGGGGGGGCTTGCCTCCCGCCTCCGCCCGAGGCCCCCTGGGGCAGGCCGGCCGAAAAAAAAGAGCAGCCATCCTGCGCACCGGCCCCCAGGCATGCATCCCGTGGCATGCCTTCCACAAGGGCCATACACCGCGATCGGCCGGCGCTTGCGCACACCCGTGCCAGCTGCCACCGCTCCGGCCGCCAGACTTTCTCCCATCCCGGACGGGTGGGCCAAAAGATCGCGCGCCGGGCCGCGGCCCCCCGTCCCCGGGCACAGGCACCGCCAGCCTCGCTCCCTCCACTCGCTCCCTCCCACCCATCGCCCCCCCCCCCCTCCTTCACGCCGCCGACCCATCGCCTGTAGCCCCTTCCCCCGGATCCCCTCCCTCCCGCCATGGCTGCCACCGTTAATGGCACCCCGCTGGTCGAGGGCTCGCCGCTGGCCGTGGCATCTATCGCCACGGTGCTTCTGAATGCCTCGGAGGCGGCCCTCGCCCGGCGGGACGCCGTGTCGGCCGAGTGGGCCGCCGAAATGGCCGCCTGGCTGGCGGACTCGCCTCTGGCCTCCGGCCAGAGCGCCATCCCCGGGCCGCCTCGCAGCGCCGCCACCCCCCCGGGCATGGTCCCCTGGCTGGTGGCCGGGCTCCACCACCCGGACGAGTACCACCCCGGCGGCGGCGGCGCCGCGATCGATCCCGCCCGGCTGACCCGGATCCAGACGCTGCTGGCGGCGTCCGACCCGCTGGGCGCCCTGCGCCTGGTGGATGCCCTTGTGCTGGGCTGGAGCGCGGCCGGCCGCCGGCCGGCCCTCGGCCCCCCGGCCGACCTGGCCACGCCGCGCCTGATGCAGGACGCCCTGGACCCGGAGGACCCGGAGGGCGATGCCCGGCCGGCCGGCCCGCTGGACCCCCTGCAATTCCGCCTGGCCGTCCTGCGCCTGGCCGTGGCCCTGGAGCTGTATGAGTCCCTGCGCGGCACCCCGGGCGAGCTGATCCTCGAGCAGATGTGCCCCCCGGCCGGCAGCCTGCCCGAGCCCGGCCCCGGGCCCTGGCGGCGCTTCCACGCCCGTTGCCCTGCCTGGCTGGCGTGCATCGGCCGGCTGGCCACCGGCCTCCGCCGGACGCCGGTGGCCCCGGGCCCGGGGCCCGGCCCCGGAGCCCGGCCCGCCGACATGGCAGCCCTGCTGGCCCTGCGTAGCCGGCTCCTCATGCACATGGCCGCCGCCGCCGCCGCCGCCGCCGCCGCCGCTGGGTCCGACGGCCCGGGCCCGGACCCGGACCCGGACCACCACCAGGCCCCCGTCGAGGGCATGTCCCGGCAGGCCCTCGATGACCAAACCCGGCGCGAGGTGGTTTCCCTGGCCTGCCGGTCCATCCGCGCCTACCCCTTCTTCTGGTCTGTCTGGCTGCACCTGGTCGACCGTCTGGTCGACTCGCCCAATTCCGCCGAGGTGTGTTGCTTGCGCTTCCCTGCTCCCATGTGGTGGCGGTGCCCCCGGCCGCCCTCCGCCGCCCCCCACCCCGGACTGACCATCGGCCGGCCGATCGGGCTCACCTCGGTCGTCGGAAGGCGGAATTGGTCTTTCTGTCGCTCCACCGGGACTTCCGCCGCGATGTGCAGGGCGCCCATGCCACCGGCCGGTCCGCCGGGTCCGCCGGGTCCGGCGACGCCGGCGACGCCGACTCGGCCATGGCCTGCGGCGAGGCGCCGGCCATGTCGGCCTCGGCCGTCGGCCTGGCCTGCGCTCTGGTGGCCCTCTGCGCGCGGGCCCTCTTTTACCAGCGCACGTACCAGCCCCTGCGGGCCCTGGCCGTGCACTCGCACTTCGACCACCTCCTACACTTGTACACCTCCGGCGACCGGGGCGCCCCGGACCTCGGCCTCGCCAGCCCGGACATGTGCCTGGTCCTGGCCCAGGTGGCCCTCCGGTCGCCCTTCCTCGATGGCCAGCGTCTCCGGTGTCTGACCGCCGTCGGCGGTGTGTTCCCTGCTCACCCGGCACTGCTCCTTCCATTCCCCCCCCCCCCAGCCCCTCCCTCCCTCCCCTGACTTTCCTCCGCTTCCATGGCCTTGCCCAGAGCTCGAGCAGGCGCTCGTCGGCTTCCGACACCATGTCTCGCGGGACCCCTTCCGCCTGCATGATCTGGACGCCTACGGGGATGCGCTGTTCATGCAGCGCGATGTGCCGGAGCTGGCGCGCGCGGCGGCCGCCGCGCGGGACCTCGACCGCCGTGCCCCCAGACCCACGCCCTGGTGGGCAATCTCCACTCCCTGCGGGGCAATCATGCGGCCGCCTTCTTCGCCTTCCAGCGGTGCCTCTCCTCGGCGGCCGGGGCCCGGCCCGTGCACACTCCCATCTCCCCTCGGTCGCCGCTCCCCTATGTCCAGGGCGACTGGAGCGGCGCCTGGGCCCTGCTCGGGCATGAGTGCATCGAGATGCACCGCATCAATGATGCCATTCGTGCTTTCCGCCGCGCCGTCGGTGCGTTGCCGCCGCCGCCGCCGCCGCCATGGCCGGCTCTCCCGGCACCGCAATCGTCCTGACCCTCGATGCTTCTTTCCCGCCTTGCGGATATGCCCTCGCCATGTTCCCGGGCCAAACTCCCCCGCCCGGGTCTCCCCGGTCTCCTGCGGGATCTCCCCCTCCCCCCTTGCTCTGGCCGAAACCCCCGCGCCGCAGAGATCAATCCCCGCGACCACCGCGGGTGGTATGGCCTCGGCGAGGTGCATGAGATGCTCCGTCTGCACTCGTATGCCTTGCCATATTACGAGAAGGCCGTCTTCTACAAGTGCGCCCGACATCCTGCCACTAGCTACCTGCCCGCCGGTTGGTTGACTCATCAATTCGATGCACGCATGCTTATTTCCTCTCACTCCTGGGCTGCACACGCACACGCACGCGCACGCGCACACGTACGCGCACACGTACGCGCACACGTACGCGCACACGTACGCGCACACGTACGCGCACCCGCACCCGCACCCGCACCCGCACACACACACACACACACACACACACGCACCCGCACCCGCACCCGCACACACACACGCACCCGCACACACACACGCACCCGCACCCGCACGCACATGTGCATACCCGCTCTCTGGCCACAGAGGTCGCGATCCGCGGCTCTGGGAGGCTCTGGCCCGGTGCTACGACCGGCTGGGGCTCGATCGCGAAGCGCGCACAAGCCGCGAGAACTCCGAGCGTTCGATGTCGACCGACGCCGGGGAGATGGAGCTTCCGGATTTCGTGTGACCCCATCACATGATCAAACAGGAACGCGCCCGCCGGTCGTCCGTCCACCCCGTCCCATGACTTGCGCCCCGGCGTCCGGCCCGCCCCTGCCCCTGGTTAGCTTCACGCGCGCCAGGCGAAGGGGGGATACCGACCGCAGGGGCTGCGGGGCCGAAGAAGAATAAAGAATAAGCCATACACACCTGCCCGAGTGTACGGTGCCCCCCCCCCCCCCCCCGGCCGTCGCCCGTTCTCGGCGCCCTCTGCCCGGACCGGCGGTTAAAGGGGGGTTACCTGTGCCATGTCGCCGCGGGGGCGGCCCG